ATTATATTCATTTTCCCTCTTCTGATTTAAGCAGTCAAACTCAGAGCATTTTGTGGGTGCCTAGAAGTGCAGTGAGCCTTCAGCTCCTTGTCTGCTGGAGAAGTCACTAGTGGAACATTTGTCATGATAGCCCTCAAGGGAGACACCAGCCTGTCACCTTAGCCTGACATCTTTCTCTCTTCACTCAGGAGCCCAAATGAGCCCCTGGACCATGATGTCGTCTGAGAGGGCTGGTGCCTGTGACCACCATCTGCTGCACTGTTTTTTCAAGGACAGTCAGGAATAACGACAACAGTGACAGCCTGAGGTCCCGGGTGCTGAGCCCCACCCAGGGCTGCTCAGTGTGGCAGGCAGCAGGTCAACAGCTTGCTAGCCAGGACAGTGGGCAGGTCGGCTTCTGGTTTGTACAGTAGACATGTTGGTCCCTCCCTCACAACCACAACATGATGAGTAATGGGGCAAACCTGCAGCCGGCTGGCCCCAGCATGTGGTGCCACCATAATAGAAGCAGGCATGTCGAGACTTTGTTTAAAGACAAAGCAAGATTCAGCTCAAGCCTGAATGCAGACCTCCGACTTACTATGGCTGGACTTGATTTCTAACCTTCACCTTGGTGTGAAAATGGTACGCATTGGTAGAAACTGCACTTCAGATCTTGAAGTTTTGTCTTCCCCCAGGCTAATGTTATAGTCAGATCCTTTCTTTCTTATCCTGAGCCAGGGGTTGGGGTCTCACCCTGTAGCACAGGCTGGCCTCTAACTCAGTACCCTCCTGTCTCAGTCGTCTACATGCTGACTCACAGATGTGTGCCACCATGCTTGGCTAAGGGCATGAGGTTTTAATTTAACTGATCCAGCCACATTCTTGCTAAAATGGACTAAGTAGGCCAAGGACAGTGTTCAAGGTCAGGGCTGGTCAACACCAGGACTCAGAAGGCCAGAGTCTAACTGGGCCACAAGAATCTGTCTCCCCTATAAGTCAATGCTGCCATTATGACCAACTGCAATCAGTGGGCTAATTTTCATAATTGCTAATTAACCCTAATAACCAGTTTGTGTAAGAGCTGCCTGGCTCTGCTCCCTCCTCTACCTAAGAAGGCATTTTGACCTTGGACTCAGCTGGTCCAGCAGATGGCAGGGCCCAACACACCTCAGATGGAGTCAGCACTGACCTCTGTCCAGTCTGGACTGCCCCCCTTCCATGCCCCTTCCCTCCCAGGGGAGCCCACCCAACATCACTCCACCTCCTCCAAAGCTCAGCCCATCCTTTTCTCAAGGGGTTACCCAAACCCCTTATGTCTTCCTGTAGGCAGGTTGGACACCAGGCTGTTTTTGCAGTAGCCTTGAAGTTCATCTCTGCCTTGCTTGGCTCTCCCACTGGTGTCTCTCACACATAAATATTAAACCCTTTCTCTCCACCACCTGCTGCTTGGGTCTTGCTAACTAACTTCTCAGTTACTGTTTTCTGCAGATTAAAAAAAAAGTCTTCACCCTCCCACCTGGTCACACTCGCAGCAGCATGGCTCTGTGAACACAGCACACAGCCTTTGAAGCCAGCTGGATGTGGGCACAACTAACCCACTGTGTGTGTGACCTAGAGCAAGCCAATTAACCTCCCTGAGCTTGTCTCCTGAGCCATTAGCTCTAGCAGTGGGCTGCCTGCTGGGAGGAAGCAGGTTTTTTTTGTTTTTGTTTTTGTTTTTGTTTTTGTTTTTGAGGGGCAGGGTCTTGTGATGAGCCCTTGGAAGAAGAGGGAACAGCCTCAGCTCCCCACAAGAGACTGCAGCAAAGCAGGGATCAGAGACCCGTGCTTGCTACCTTCTTCATTGTTGTGCCAAAATTCCTGAAAAGGCAACTTAAGGAAGGCAGGGTTTATTTTTGGCTTTCAGTTCAAGGGCACAGTCCATCATGGCTGCCAGGTACAAGATTGTGTCTGTAGTCAGGAAGCAGGAGAAGATTGTTGCTGCTCAGGGGCTCTCTCCTTTCCATGCAGTCTGCAACCCCAGTCTATGGAATGGTGCTGCCCTTAGGGTGGGTCTTCCCACCTCAGTTAGCCCATTCTAGAAACTCCCTCACAGACAAGCCAGAGGCTCATCTCCTAGGTGATTCTAGATCCTGTCCAGTTGACCATCACAGCTGCTTTGGCCAACAACTGACTTGTGTTTGCTTGGACTGAACAAGGCAGAGAGAAGGGCTGGATGCTTGGGAACCGTGGGAACGTGTTTGGCAGAGGGAAAGAGAAGGAAGAGAGAGGAGGCCATTAGCAAGCATGGGGCACGGGTGTGCTCCATGCACAGTGTACCCAGCCCTCTCCAATGCTGAGTGCCTTCCTCCTACCTTCCCCATTTAGTGACCCCACTGCTCAGCCTGTCTGAAGCCAAGGGACTTGCAACACTGAATTGGGGGCTCCCTGGCCATGTGGGCCTGTAGACCCTTCAGTGTTTCCAGCAGCATGAAATAAATTCATATAGTTACAGAGGGAACAAACTATAGGAGACGATTCAGACTCTTCATGTGGGAACATATGTGCTATTTTGTGAACATACTAAACAAGATTCAGTGGAAGCCTAATAGGCATTCTGTTCTGGAGGCTATACCTCAGAGCACCTGCAACAGCTGCCATGGGATGTGGAGAGGATGGGCGCTGCCGGTGACCACATCCCAGCTCCCGCCCCATCACCATGATACAAGGAAATGACGAGTGACATTTACAAGCTACAGAAATAAGGAGATAAATTGTTTTCCAAACCGGTTCACAGACTCTGAATTCTGTAGACTCCAAGCTTAACCTCACTCTTGGCTATTCCCTTATCATGGCTCCCCAACCTACTCTCCAAGTCCTGGAGACCTTACCTCCTGTATGGTGGATATGCCTGCCTGAGTCTCCTGACCCACCCCACTTTGATGCCACTATGATCTGGTCGCTTCTCACCCTGATCACAACAGTCTCTCTCTCTCTCTCTCTCTCTCTCTCTCTCTCTCTCTCTCTCTCTCTCTCTCTCTCTCCTATATCTCCCCACTCTTTCTCTTTTTTTTTTTTTTC